CACGGTCCTTTCCAGGCTCTTAGGCTAGAACTGAAGAGCAGGAGCTCTTTCATGGGCCGTTTCCTCAACAATTCGAGGATGCCCCTCAAAAAAGGATCTGTTCGGTGTGGTTCTTACCCTCCACATTTCATTTTTTTTCCCTCAATCCTCTTGAGGGTTATGATGTTTGAGCCTTTTCTTTCTCAGCTATTTTTGGGTAAGTGATACGTTTCCGCTTTTAACCGTGGTACCAAGGATGACACTTGACACAAAATGCAGTAGTTTTTTTTTTTTTTTCCCAAGGGCAGCCATATCTATAGCTTCCATCAACATACTTTCCTTTCAGAATAATCCTGCTATACTTCCTTCACACCAGAGCCTGTGTTCTGTGACCTTGAACAGAGGCAGAAACTCACCAACATGTGACTGGGAGAGCATAGGATATGACTTCTGAGATCACATCATAAAAGGGGACAGACATACTGCCAGGTTTATTCTCTTACTATGTTTGGCTCCTCTGCCTGCTCTCTCATTTTGTCCGCACACTTGCTCTCAGAAGCCAGCAGCCATGCTCTGGGGAAGACTTTGTGGAGGGCGGGTCTTTGTCAGCATACTAGGGGGAACACCTTGGTTGAGGTTTAACTGACACCTTACTGACTGCCAGGCATGAGAGTAAAGAAAGCTCTCCATCACTTCCAGCGAGTCTCCATCTGACTGCAGCCGTAAGGGACCCAGCTCAGCATGATCTCATGGAACCTAGCTGCTCTTCCAGAATGATAAAAACAATAATATACCAGGGATGTATCACAGAGGGGAGGCCCTTGCCTAGCACGAGGCCTGGGTTTAATCCTCAATATGAGAAAAAAAAAGTTAGGGGCATTTTGTTATGAAATAATAGGAAATGGGCAGACAAAGTGAGTCATTGAGGCGTTTGTGTTTTCTCCCAGCAATTTTGGAATTTAGAGACAGAACTTGAGGCAACTGAGCAGGAAAGGTTGTTGAGGCGTAATTACTGAAGATATCATTTTGGTTCAGCCTAACCATTTGAGAAAGTCATATATAAGGAAAAATGGACCTTTGCAGAGTTGGAGAAAAGAGAATGGCTGACCTGGGAGTGGGAGGAAGGATATTGTCATGAGTTGAATGGAGGAAAGTCCTCAGCTTTTGTGAAGCCTTATGTCTTATGAGCAGTTCTTACATACCTATTATTAATATTAATATACTTAATATTAATGTTAATAATAAATAGTTATAAAACTCATTTGCCTCAACTAATTTGAGTAAATTTTTGTATTTCTTATTGTCAAATGACTCCTGAGTAAGACATTCAGCAATCAGCATGGAATGAAAGTGGACAAACCTCCAGATGTAGTAAATCAGATGTAGAAAACTTTGCTTGCCTTTAAAATACTCAGCTGGTTTTGTTATGGCAAAAGAAGACATTGTTTCGTCTGTAAATTCCTAGCCTTTTTCTTTAAACACAGCATGGTGTTCAGCTGTGGCGGTCATAAGTGGTACTTGTTCCATGTTTTCCATTCTCTGTCTTCCTGGAACATGGTAGAGTCAGACTTCTTGGCTTTGCTATGGTGGGGTAGGACTTTATAGACCATTCCAGCTGAGAAGACAGGAATGGAAATGACACATGCCATTTAATCTAGACTGCCATTTAATGGTCTTTGCTAGACCTTCTAATCTTTTGCCAAGTAACACTGTTGATCGTGGCTGTCCCATCTATTTCTGGGCTCTGAGTAAGGATGAGAAAGCACCACATTAGTCCAGAAGAACAATGGCTGAAAAATAATCCCATGGTGTTTGAAGGAAGTTTAAGCAGTACCACCTCATCATAGTCAGCTCCTCTCACCCTCTTGGGAGCCTCCTCCTTATGCACTGTGACTGGGATTCTCCAGAAATCCTCCCTGGACTATTCTTTTTTTTTTTTTTCAAAATGGCTGCCCTTTTACTTTCCAGCAAGTATGAGAGGAGTGGATCTAACCATGCCCAGAATTTCTCCTAAGCCTGCATTGACATCTATTGTCTTGGCCACCTTTCTTTCTGCATCTGACACATTTGTCCAATGAGTGAACTTGGAGGTTCCTGTTTAGCCTTACAAGGATGTCTTACAGAGTCAGGATAGTTTTTCTTATATTAAACTTTTTTTTTTTTGTAATTTGTACATCAAGCCCCAGCTTTCTCTTCCCTTCCTAAGTACTTGTCCCTTACAAGCTCTTTTTGTTTTAATCTGTTCACTAAAGTTGGTTATTTAAAAGCATCATGATACATAAACCAAGGCCTCTCTGACTGCCAGAACTAAAAGCCGTTCTTGTCATATCGCTATACCCTTTCAAAACTAAAAAAGGAAAAGTCAAAATAGTGAGCTTCTCAATATCTTGTTTTCTGCAAATCTTAGGGGCCCCACCAGCAAGAATTTCAGCTGAAATGTCTGGTATGCGCTCTGGGTATGCACAGTCTACTGAGGGCCTGGGGATGAGCGCCACTGATGAACCCTTCTTAGAGGTTTTGTTTTCTAAGTCTAAAATGAGGTCCAGTGTGTGGGCCAATGTCCTTTGTGGGAAAGGGACATCTTTTCCCTGAGTGCTGTGATGGACCCATGGGAATATTTTTCTGTATGGTCCAAAGAAGAATCTTTAAAAAGATGCTCAATAGGGAATAACAGCAGAATAGTCTTACTATGTTCAAATTGCTATTTATCACTGTAACTTGGATTTGGAATTAAGCCTGAGGGTTAAACGACAAAAAAAAAAAAAAAAAAAAAAAACTCTCTTCTTTGTGTTTCTAACACACAGGTAAACTTATTTTCTAAGATCAGAGGAGCAGTGAACTCATAGTCTAGAACTTTCTGTGAAAATGCAGTCTTTGGGATTTCTTTGACAGTCAATTTGTAGGTTTTGAGAAATTATAATTAGCTAAGTCAGCTGGCATAGTAGCATACACCTGTAATTCTGGCTATTTCAGGAGGCTGAGGCAGGAGAATCGTTAGGATTCCAGGTCAGGTGATACAGTGAGTTCAAGGGTAGGCTGGGCAATTTAGTGAGACCTTTTCTCAAAATAAAAAATGCAAAAGTCACAGGGGATATGACATGGTGGCACACTGTTTAATATTAGAATGTACCTTAGTTCATTTCCAGTACCACCAATGACAAAAAAAAAAAAAAAATGTAAGTGAAACCAAAGAGATTTTCCTTAAAATCTCATTCAAACTCACCTTCCTTGGCAGCCACCTTTTTGATACAAGGGTAGATTTATGCTGACAAGTGCAAAAATACTGTGGTATCATTCTGAGTTCTCTCTCTCTCTTGCTCTCTACCCTAGTCTACCCTTCTACTCTCCCCATGACTAATCACTGTTTTCTAAAAAGTTTTAGTGAAGCTATAGAAACACAGACTAATCTGGTAATGAGGCATTTCAGAAGGATTTCCTGGTATATAGATTACCTAGTTTTGTTTTAAATAAGAAAACAGAGATTTGAAGAGTCTCAGGGATGTAATCCTACCACTCAGGAAGCCCAGGCAGGAAGATTCCAGGTTCAATCAGTGGGCTGCTGGAGAGTTCTAAGCTAGTTTGCTCTGCGGCCACAGCAAGATACTGTAATGGAAGAAAGGAAGGAAGGAAGGAAGGAAGGAAGGAAGGAAGGAAGGAAGGAAGGAAGGAAGAAGGAAAGAAAAAGGAAGGAAGGAAGTATCAATCCCTGAATGTGTTTTTAATTGTAAGCCTTATTATTTTTATATGTTCAATAAAGGAAGCTCCCCTGCGAGTTTATTTTGGGGGACAATCTATTAGCATAATTTAGTCATTATATGCATTGGTAATCATAAGATTAAGTTTTACTTGTTTAAAAATCTTCCAATCAAAACATTTGTTTTTCCCAAGGTTTCTTCTCACGGATGAATACAGACTACAGGCATTTCTACATGTGTGTCGGTGCATGTGAGTGCTTGCTATGAGCTGTCCCGTATCAGAGCCTGACTTAGGAAAGACGACGCGCTGCTGCAGTGGAGAGCATCATGACGAACGAGTGTGTGCTGGAAGATGTGTTACCATGTTCAGGAAGAGCAACCAAAGCTGTGCCCATTTCAGGAGAATGAAAACCCTTGGAAATAGGATTAAAATGATTTCTCTGCAGAATTAAACCGAGGACATCATGGGCAGTAACTCAATGCCCTACCACTTAGCCCATTAATGAACTAATTAAAATATTCTTCATATTGAGACAGCTCCAGCTCAGGCTCACCTTGAACTCACTTCTGATGCTCTTGCTTCAGCCTCCTGAGTAGCTGATATTTGCAGACCTATACCACCAGGTCTGGCCTAGGATTTAAAAATATCAGCCCAGTACCTCCAATGAAGAGGACTTGGTGACAGGAGAGTTGGAGGAGTGGGAAGAGGCATGTTGAACCCTGGATTCTAGAAACTACAAAGACACCGCCTTGTGGGGTAGGCTAAATGCTCTCCCTGGCAGCATTTTGTTTGCTCAGCCTGCTTCTAGGCTCTGGTGATCAACAAATAACCTTAGTAGCAAAACAAGCATGGGCCAAAGAAAATAATATCACAACCACATCCAGAGTCTTGAACAAAACTGCAAATCTGAATCAATTTTCATGGTTTTTGATGTTCTGGGTTAAATGTCATGGATCTTTAGCCACCTTTAATCTGCTCAGCCATGGTAACTAATGTTAAAATAAAAGTGACACCTGATATTTAAGAATACTGCTGCTAGAGTAGATATGTATAGAGAGCAGCAGAAAGTTCAGCTCTGCTCTCAGGTGACACAGTGTCCTGAGGCTACCTTTCTGGATTCCTCTGCCCTCACTTGTAAAAGCTTGATTATACACCATAACATGCCGCAGTTATAAATCTACACTTTGGTGATTTCAGTGATCTACATAGTTCTGCAGCCACCACCTCAACATAGATTTGATTTGTCAGTTTGGGTTTTTTTTTTTTTTTTTTGAGATAACATTTTAGTATGTAGCCTAGGTCAGCCTCAAACTGAGCTCATAATCCTTTCCCCACAACCAGATTTAGAACATCTCATCACACCCAAAGTTCCCTAGCAACCCTCTATGGTCAATACCTGCTTCCTCTCCTGACTACAGTTATTTCTCATATCCTTCCTTGTTTTATGGTTTTTGTTTTTGTTTTTACATGACCTTTGTTTTGACTCTGTAAGCATGTGGCTACTTTAAGACACACAGGTTATGTTGAAACAGCTTTATTTTCTTTTTGATCCATAAATATCTGTTACTGACAAAAGTGGAAAAATCCTTAAGACTAAATCTTACTAAATCAATCTCTGTTCACAGTACATATAGGGTGTGCTTTGACAGGGAAGGTGGATGATGAATTTGTACAGAAGCAGGAATGTGAGTGATGGAGAAACTGCAAAGGTATGGATATAAAGGTACTTTCCATAATACTACCATATAATAAACATAGAATCCATAAATCCAGCTAATGAGTAAAAATGTTCCTTTAACCCCACCCCTTAGGAAATTGTGTCCCCAAACTAAAAATGTTACAGTAAGAATTGCCTTTTATTAGAGAATTTCAAGAATTCTTTACTACAAAATGTCTAGTTGAGTTTACAGGACTAGAGACAGGTTTGCCACTATTAAGCAAATGAATGGGTTCTCCTGTAGAGTGGCATTTGAGGGCCATTGAAGGGTTGGCAGCAAAGTTGAGCAGGGTCTTCTTCTCCCATAGGAGGCTGTTAAGCAAACACACAGCATCATTTTGTTTTCTCTGAATGATGGAAGGTTAATGTGTTTGCGATTTACAAGATGGGTTTGATGACAGGGACTTGGAATTTCCATTGATACTTCCAAAGCCTTCATGGGGAGGATGATGGCATCGTGAAGAGAAGTCACAAAGATACAGGATGGGGTGAGAACCTGCCTCCCAGCAGCCCAGGTGGCGGTGCCTCATCCTCTCCAGCTGAGATGGAGCTTCAGCATCCAGATGTGGTCTTCTTCGGGACACATGCTGTGGGGTGGGATATGATGACATCCCTTGCCACACAGAGCCTCTGTCAAGCATGCTCCTTTGGGACATGGGACAAATTTTCCATGTGACCTTAAATACAAACTCCATGCCCAATGTCATGGTCAGATATCTAGACCCTTTCAGCCTGTCCCCTCTCTAAAAGTAGAGTCACCTCCCTCCAGCTATGAGGACAACATCAAAAATGAAAACTCCAAACTCAGAATTTAACAGCAACAGATACCCAGGTGTTTCAGGTATGTTTATATGAGAGGCTTTTGAGACACATGATTGGTGACCTGTTGAGTTGTTAGGCCTCAACTTTCAGATAACAAGAGCATCCATGAGTGGCCAATCCCATTGGTTCCACCCACAATCTGGTGAGGAGGATGGTGACTGTCTAGGGCCTGTGAGGATTTTACCCCAGGGCAGGCAGAGTGTGATGGGTGCAGCTCAGTTCAAGTGGGAATGAGTGAGAAGGGAATGTGAAGATGGAAAACCCTAGAGTGTAAGAGCTGGATAAAACTTTGAGGGCTCATCTAGTCAAAACCCATTTTATAGGTAAGGAAACTGAGGCACTGAACTGAAATGTGACTTGCCTATAGTCACATGGCAAGATGAAGACAAAAGCCAGACATAGAAGTCATGTCTCTAGAGCCTCAGTCCTTTTTTTTTTTTTCTTTCTCTTTGATATGCCACCTTCCAAAATCAAAGAGAGGGACCAGAAAGACCTTTCTTTCATGTTTAACCCACTTGTTTATAAAAATAACACTTAAGCCATTAAAATTCTCTGATAAAGCAGAGCAAGCCTTTTGAGATATTCCAGAGTTCCCCTAATTCAGAGAGGGTCACAGAGGAATGTGAGGGAGCTAATGTGCCTGCTCCTCACATAGCAGGTGCCTTCTAGGGTCCAAGTGATGGGCAGCCCTTTCAAACTATGACCTTGGGTCCAGTCCACAGACATCTGTGGAAGGGATGAAGGATGAAGTAGGTGGCAGTCAAGAACTCTCCAAAGGCAATGGGTTGAGTTTTGTGGCAGAGATGTTGGGATAACTACTCCTCCATACTTGGAGACTTATGAGGTCCTTGTGTCTTTGGGGTGAATGAAAAGCTGTGATATCCACTAAAGGAAGGGTATCGGGGTAGAAGCAAGAACTACAGGCATCAAAGAGGAGGAATCTTTGGCCAGAGCAGAACACTCTGGGCTAGTAACAGGTTGAGCCAAGAGTTTCTTGAGTCTGGTAGCTGCAGGAACCAAAGCTGATCTTTTGGCCATGGCACCTCTAATCAGGCAGCTCTCCCTTTAGAGATTAGAGGGAGGGATGGGAGGAGCCCAGTGACCTCACACCTTGGGGTGTCATCTCCCATGTGAAAAAGTATAACAAACTAATGAGGCAAACAATGGACTCAAAGAATGCCAGAGTCTTCCACAGTTTACATCAAGAGCTCTAACGCTTAAAACTAGAGACTTCAGAAGGTCCAGGTAAAAGAACTTAGGGCTGGAGGAAGATCGATAATTGAAGATGGAAATGAGAGGAAGGCAAGAAGAAACTGGCATAGAAGGTTAATACAGGAAAGAGAATGTGAAGATGGGGAGATATTTCAGCTGGGGGAACTTCCCAAGAGAAACACATTACCTAAGACACTGAAGAGTTCTGAGGATCAAAGTCCAGTTAGGAGGTTAAGGAACTAATTGCAAGCCTGTGTGGCTCATGAACATATGGTTCCAAGAGTTCACTGGAGGAAGTGAGAAAGGAATGATGAAGGATGGGGGTGGTAAGAGATATTCAGGAGGAACATTTGGGGCAAGTGAGACCTGTACACAGTCAAATCCAGGGCAGTGGAGACATGCATAAAGGTACAAAACAAGCAGAGGGAAATGTTGGGTTTGCTTGGGATATGAGTGTTTATCATGAGGGAGCAATCGCCCTACTATGTGACAGAGGAGACCAGCCTGCTTGGGCTAGAAGCAGTGGTCTGGGTTCCAGCCCCAGACACTTACAAGTGACTTCATACAGCAATGGAGACAGCTGGTTCTCAAGTGATGGATATGTTGAGGGGATCTAGTGGTTTTTCCTTATCATTGGGGGATAAGCTCCAACAATCCCAACAGGTACCTGAAACTATACATGATACCAAACTCTTTCTATATATATAGTGTTTTTCTTTGTATACATACACATACAATAAAGTTTAATTTGTAAATTAGGCACAGGGAGAGATAGACAATAACAAAATAGGACAAGTTATAAGAATATACTGTAATAAAAGCTATGTGATTGTAGACTCTCTCAAAAGAGTTAAGACAAATGTAAATATGTCTGGATCATGGTTGTCTATAGGTAACTGAAATGTAGTCATGCAGAACTGAAGATGGGGTACTATATTTCCATGTCCCATTTAAGACACAGTTTTCCAGAGTTTGGAGTGGAGGGGGTACGGGATTAGAGTAGTTTATAGACGACAATTTTTGCTACTATTCCTTTTGTTCCAAGATAGATCAGAAGAAAAGCCTTCAGGGGAAGCAAGCATTCCATTAGAATTTTCTGACGTAACTGATGCCGGTTATTTTATACCAGATGGTGGTAAGGCAGGGTTGAGAAATAGCTTGGAATCAACTTGTCAAACAACCCCTGAGACAGACAGAAAGACAGACAGACACCTTGTCAGAGCCAAGGCTGAGGGAGGAGCCTGGGTTAAGGTCTTGCTCCCCAAGGGCTGGAAAACTTGGTATCTGGAAGATTCTCCATGGGATGTACAAACACACGGGAGGGGATCTTTGCCCACCACAATCTTGTCCCTTCCCCTTCCCGCCAGCACATGGTCTTCAAAGAAGCCAGGTAAGGGTTAGAGAGGTATAGGGTGCTGGGCTGGGGGCCAGCTGTGAGACATGCCTTTGCTTCTGGAAGTGAGCCATTCTCTATTTGGATTGAGTTCCTCTCTTCCTGTAAGCCTTACCTTCTGCAGCAAAAACTCATAGACCCATGGGGACCAGCCCTTAAGAAGGTTTATGTGTTTACAGTGTGGAAAGCAGAATGGTCTGGGGCCTTCTGGCTCTATGGTGCCAGGGACAGCTCTTTGGAAGGCCCAGCTTCCATCCTTCCTAGTTATGCAGAACACTCCTTTTCACGGAGGGGGATTCTGCAGAGGGGCTCAGGAGAGCTTGGGACTCTTGCAAGCAGTGAGGGAAAGCAGTCCACTGACTTCTCTCTGGCTCGTAGACTTGACTAGATTAAAAACGACCAGGACAGATGCAAGCTTCTCACCACCTCACCTTTTAAGGGCTATCCATGCAGAACTGAGAGGATATAAAATCTGACTTAAGGACATCACTGCTGGAGTCCGGTAAATGATAGTTCAATTTCTTATGTCACTTCACCAGACAGTCTGGGGCCTATTATCCCCAGTCCCAAAGAGGTACCCTGGCCCTCAGAAGTGGTGGGGGTGGGGCTTCATTGTCTTTCTCCTCCTGATCTTAGGGGGAGCAGGATTGCTCTCATTGATAGTTTTCCAGTAGCTTGGAAAACTTGTCATCTTGTCTACCTTCAAATTTGAGGCAAAGAAGGGGCTGAGATGGGCTGGTGGTAGGGCCTTTCACAGAGCTCAAGGTGACCCTGCCATATGCCCAAGCACTCCTGCAAGGAAGAGGGGTTGATATGGCCCTCAGAGCGACATCCTGGGAACCTATTATCTATTTGCATCTGCCAATGGGCTTTGGTCACTTTGATCCACTGGTCTGAAAGTAATGGAGCTGCAGGGGCACGTTGGGGAGATAGGTCTGGGAGGTAACAGCGGGAGAGAGATTGGGTTCTAAACAGAAAAGGGCTGGTGGAGTGAGCAAAGACAGTGGAAAGGAATGGGCAGGCTCCAGCATGACCACTTCAGAGAGCCCCTGCCTGTTTGAGGGCTAAGCTTCTTCTCTCTGTGTCTGGAAACTTCTGCCTCTGTCCTGCCTGAGGCTCATGGGTTGGGGGCAGGCAGAGCCCTAGAAAATGGGAATGGCGAGCCCCTGAGATCCTGGGCATCACAGTGGCCCCCCACACCCTCGCTCTGTGCCCACCGCAGATGCCTCCTGGGAGCAGAGCTCAGGTGAAGAAGGCAGGCCTGAGAGGCGGTCCTACTTCAGACCCAGAGGCCTGGAGGAAATGGGGAGACAATCAGGAGGCCGCCAAGGCACCTCTAAAGTCTTGGCAACCCATCGCTACTCTTCTCTGGAGGGTAAGAGCTAAAGCTCCAGAGAGCTTTGAGGAGAAACAGGGAAGGCTGGGGAGAGCACAGCCCCCACAGCACAGAGGCAGGGGCATCCAAGCAGCTGAAGGAAGGGAACCCTCCCTGTTATGGGGCTGCAGGGCTCAGCAAGGGAAGGGCCACTCTGTAGAGACCAGAGTTCCAGCAGGCAGAAGAGAATCTTATTGTGCTTATGGACACAGCAGCTCTCTGGCTGAGAGCGAGCAGGCAGTTTTTAGGCACTAAGAGATTTCTGTGATGCGGTTCTAGATACAGGAAGAAGACCGAGCAGCCTGTTCGGTCAGCCCACTGACTGCACCCTCTGGGCAACTGGCTGTTCAAACTCAGGCAGCTTCCGGTTACCTTCAGGAGAGGGTCCACTGGCAAGCAGAACCCCAAGAAGGGGCGGGGCAAGAACTGAGTGAGTGGCTGGACCTCGCCACTCTTCTCAGTTGCAGGGGAAGTCTACTGGGAAACAAAGAGCTTTAGAGCCTGGGTCTGTGCTTGCTGGACCAGGCAATCGGCGCCATGTCCCCGGGGGTATGGCTTTCTGGACAAAGGCAGCCCACCTCCAGCTCAAATGGGGGGGACCGGGCAGGGGAGGAGAGCAAGGCTAGACGCTGTGTTCCCCATCCCTGCCATGTTCTGCTTTGTCCTGCCCTCACTCTGCCAACCAGCCTGGCCACGCTGCCGGTCACACGGTCACTTCCGTCTTGCTGGCTGTGTAGCAGGTGTGATGGCCCGGGATATAGTGCAGCTGCTCCACCGTGTTGTGTCTGCGGGAGGCAAAGGCGTGGCGCTTGGCTGCGGTCTGGCTCTTGCCCAGGGTGGCATAGGAGTTATTGGAGGCACTGGGATGGGAGTGCATCTTGGTCATGCGGTAGCGGTCCAGCACCGGCGTGGACACAAAGACGTCCGTGTGCGAGATGGCCCGCGACAGCGACTGCTCTGGGAAGGCCGTCCTCTCTGGGGACAGCAACGGGTCCTGGGAGTGCAGGCGCTCCGTGGAGAGCAGCTGTTCATCAGACAAGATGCGGTCATAGGGCATGCCAAATTCATCTGGCAAGCCCCGCTGTGGGGACAGAACCCTGTCCTGAGACATGGCCCTAATGGGCCTGCGTGGCCGTTCTCTAGGCAGCGGCTTCTGTTGAGACATCTGGATGACGTTGAGGGGTAGGGTGCCACGGGCTGCAAGGTCTGGCAGGTGCCGGCGCCTCATGTAATACTCATCAGCTTCCTTGTCCGCTGCAAGGAGACAGAGAGAAGGCAGTGGGGTGATGGTGCAGCCACGATTCAGGGAGTGAGAGGGGAGTGGGTGAGGGTGTGTGCACCCTCTTGCTTCAGCCTCAGACCTACAAGGATAATGTAATCAGGCCCCTTCAGTTAGGAGAGTAGGTGAAGGGGCCCAGACAGGTGACTATAACTCCCTCCTCTACTGCATGCACAAGCCAGTCTTGTGAAAGGTGGGCTCTGGTTCAGGGGTACTGACTGACTGAATCTCCGAGTGGGCCCCCAGTGCTGCTTCTCCTTCAGGGAGCACCTTGGGCAGCAGTTCAGAACTTCCCTACCCAGCTCATACTGGAGCTGATGGTAAGCTCAGGGCATTGCTATGGTTTGCCTTCTGTGTCTACTGCATGCAGTTCTGAAGTAGACTGGCTCTGGGTCTTGCTACAACACCCAGGTGGAGCTGACAGCCTTCCGATGGTGGCTAGAGCACTGCTTTATGGAAACTGGGCACAGAACCAGCTTCCGTCAAAATAAAGTAGGATGTTCGTCGACAAGCATTTGTGAAAAGCTTCGCTGGTAACCTAGGAACCTAGTAACACCTTCTCTGGAGTAACAGCCAATGTACAGGGAACCAACACGTGGGTAGCCAGCCCCATACAGCCGTATCATCAGCCTCCACATACTCCTTGTGCCCGCCAGGCAGCAGGCTGTAGCAATACTGTGTGAGGATCCTGCTCAGATGCTCTGGGCTCCTGTCTTGGTAGGTTCTCCCAGAGTTGCCCTATGAAACCTCTGTCTTTCCCAGGGCACACAGGAGGCTGCACTGTCCCAGAGTTCAGCAAGGAGGCCTCCTGCAGAAAGCTTTTGGGAATCTGCATGTAGTGTGGGGATGCTCTTTCTTTCTCAGTGGGCTCAGGGTTGGGCTCTACCCTGCCTACTAAACACATTTTTTTTTTCACATTGGGGAATCCATCAGACATCTCAGGTACCCAGAGATGCTCACTGGTTGCCAGAAACACTCAACATTTCTCTGTACATGGCTGAGGAAGATGTGGGTTGGACTTCTGGCAGAGTGAGTGACCCCAGGACTTCAAGCACATGCTCAGCTATGGAATACCAACTGAAACTGGGAAGCCATCAAGAGACTTGTGGGGCTGGGTGTGGCTCAGGGATCAGATGCTTGTGTAGCACACACAGGGCTGTGTAGCATCTCTAACACACACACATGTGCATACATGGATGTGTACACACACACACAGATGTGTATACATGATGTACACATACATGCAGACATGGATGCGCACATACATACAGATACACACGTGCAGGTGAGGGCATTACTCATGAAGACATTAGAGGAGGTTACAGGGATCAGGACAGGAAAAAGTCCCTAAATGTACTCTCTTGACATTTGATGTGTTAAACCCACCAACGCCAACAGCAGTGTCAGATTAGAGCAGGAGAGTTGGATCCCTGGATAAGCAGGATCCATGGAAAAGCCAGACTTAAGTGATAAAATGAAAGAATGTACATGAGAAGCATGCTCAGGTCCTTGAGATGGTCTTGGCTGGGTTAGAATTGTTCTTGGTCCCTTGCTGCCTCTGTTATAAGAAATGACACACAGAAGGCCCACAGTTTGAAGAAGGCTCATAGCAAGCTGGTATGTGAGCGGTGAGTATAGCTTACAGAGGATGGGGATACTCTCAGGGTCTGAGAGTATCATTCTTAACTATAAAAAAGAGCGGATTTAGGATGATGAGAACAAAAGGATTGTGTGTATACATCCTAGGGACAACTCACTTTTTTAACCTTGAGATTCTACATTTAGTCCCACAAAGGAGAATGACTTAGAGACCCTTGAGACAGACCTCAACTCCAGCCAGCCTTGACTTACTCAGCCTCTTCAGAGATGAGTACTTGCTTGGGTTGGTCTTCACTGCAGATTCATATGATGGGGGCAAGTGCGCTAAGTTCTGGAAAGAGCGTGAGAAGGAGAGGTCATAGGGTTCGGTGGCTGATGTCAGGATGTTATTCATTCGTGGCTTTTCTGCAAAGTAAGGGCACGGCATTAATGAACATAAAGACTGAGGTAGCCAGAGCCTGACTGGCCAAGTTTCCTTTCTATTTTCTGCTCCATTCCTGACCATAGTCCCCATCCTGCTTTCCTATGTTTGGACCCAGTGAGAAGTGCTGGGATTCAGTTTCCCCCTGCTCTGTTCCCTTAGTCAATAATCCTGGGGGTGGGGGAGGGGAGGCATTGTCTTGGTTGCCTCTTGCTCCCACAGATATTGATCAGTCCTTGAGAATTCACTTGGGACACTCAGCACCAGTTTCTTCCTCCAAATATGTTCCTGGTCTGTCAGATAAAAACTGAACTAGGTGCAATGAAAGAGCATTGTCCCGGCTAGCCTTTTATAAACTTGACACAAGCTACAGTCAAATGGAAGAGGTACTGCAACTGAGAATATGCCCCCTTCACATTCCCTCTAGGCAAGTCTGTGGGGCATTTTCTTGATGGATGATTGATGTGGGAGGGTGTATCTCACTGGGAGCAGTTCTGTTCTTAGGCTCATACCCTAGATGTATAGGAAAGCAGATTGAGCAAGCCATGAAAGAGCAAGCCAGTAAAGAGCACTCCTCAATGGCTTCTGCTTCAATTCTTGCTCCAGGTTCTCCATGTTTCTTGTCCTGACTTCTTTCAATTACCGGCTTTGATATGGAAGTATTATCTAAACAAACTGTTCCTCCCCAAATGTTTTGGAGGGGGACAGGGGAGAGGGGTTGTGGCATTTTAGCAACAAAAACTCTAAACATCATAAACTCATCAATATCAAACAAAACAAAACAAAAAAAATGGGAAAGGGGAGAAAGAAAGAAAGAAGAGAAAAGAGAAGAGAAGAGAAAAAGGAAAGGAAAGGAAAGAAAAGAAAAGAAAAGAAAAGAAAAGAAAAGAAAAGAAAAGAAAAAAGAAATCTTTAAAAGTGGATCTCTGAAAAAGGCTAGACTGGTTTACAGAGCAAGTTCCAGGACAGCCACGGATACCCAGAGAAACCCTATCTCAAAAACCAAACCAAATTAAGTGAAAACAACCCAAGAAAGCAAGCAAGCAAGCAAACCCCAAAACAACCAACCTAACAACAAGAACAAAGAAAGTAATTCATGTCTACATGAATGTACTGTCTCATCCTAGTAGCTATACACTGATCTAATTCCGATATCCAGCTAATCCAACTTTGGAGCAGCTGTAGCAACCATGGAAGAGCTGAGCAGAGGACCCATGTCCACTGCAGCTGTAATCCACATGAATCCACGGTGCCATGCTCCTGGGGAAGCTCCCCCAGGGCCTCTCTGTGCGCCATACTTGTCCAGCCTCTGAGAGCCACACGGCCACTACTGCTTATTTTAAGCCCTTTCTTAGAGGCTGCCTTAGGAATTTCTAAGCTCCCAAAAGGTAAAACTTGAGTGAAACCTGACTATCATATCTCCCTCTTTTCTACTGTCCCTAAGATAGACCCTGAGATTCCAAATTCAGCAGAGACATAGGAAAGAGTCAAAGGAATAGAGACGATGAACAGATGAACAGTCAACAGAGTGAATAAATGATAATGAGTGTGTGGATGGGCTCTGGAGGAAAGATTAGAATGAACACAAGAGAGGAGAAATGGATGGATGAGGGAGCAGTGAACATGGAGGTCTGAAGGGAATGGAAGTTCAGGGGAAGGAGACAAAACACTTTGGTGCTTGATTGACTTGAGAGGAGGAACCATAAACAAACAAACAAACAAAAAAGTCAACATGTGGTTTCCAGGGAAAGAGTGATACCATTTCCAGAAATAAGTAGGGAAATAGCAGTCTGGCTGTATCATCCATCCATCCTCTTGTTTGGGACTCCTCAAAGCCAAAGATGCTCTGAGAACGGGCAGGTCATGAGTTGGGATAGATGTGTTGGCGGATTGTGGTTTCCTACACCTCTTGGCAGAGAGTGTTACATTGTAGATTGCAAGAATCCTGTTGTCCCTGGGGGAGAGGGAGAGGTATCCTCCTAGGCTGTATCCAAGGATTGCCCCAGGCATTGGAACTCCTGGCTTCTCTCTTCTTCCCTGCCTGCATTGTCACCCCCAGAACTGGGTATCTAGCCAGGGGATTTCATCCAAAAAGCTGGTGTTTGTGCCAGCTTTGTACATATGTGAGGGGGTGAGGGATGCTCTGTATCCCAAGAGATCAGAACATGCTGTACAGAGAGAGCCTCCCTGGCATGGACTAGGACAGATGCCAGGAAGTGGAGTGGGCATGAGCATGCTGCTCTCTACACTTGGTTAATAGCCACAAATACACTACTTCTTTCTTTGCTTCTCACCATGCTGGAGAAGAACGGGGTTCCCTCTGGGTCTTGGCATCTTAATCCCACTGAGGTCATTGCTCAGTTCTCCCTCTTCCAAAGGCAGTAGGCTTATATACTGTCATCTACCACTTATTCTGAAATTACCACCGAGTCAAGAACATTGCGCCTTTTGTCCTGACCATGGTTGCCTTGATTAAGCTTGTCTTCTAATGAGGTAGCTTGTTTTATTTTTCCTCAATCACATTCTTCTTTAATTAAAGGCTTGTGACTGTAACCTTGGTACATTTTATTGGTCCTCAGTGGTATCTGTTCTTCCTTCTACCATCTCCATTTTACCTTCTATTTAGGATCTCATTGATCTCTAATGATTTGACATGACTTGACTGTAAATGACCTCAGAGATCCCCTTTGCATCAGTAGTCCTGCTTTCTAACTTTCCTGTTTCTCTCATATTGCCCACACTAAGGATATAGTTAATGCTTTTGGGATGATTAAGTAGAGACAGAACTTTCCTGCCTTCCTAACTGTTCTGCTCACTCCTTGGTGTGTGGGGAAAGGGTACTATCCAAGAAAGGAATGTAGGCAAGCTCTACTTCAACTGTGCTGCAAGCTGCTCAAGAACTGGCACCAGAGCCCTCTATTCCCATCTCCTTGTACCAGCTGGAAGAGAGAAGACAGGAAGAGGTGGAGTAGGGAACAGTCCTTCTGTTTGTACTCAAGAGTCTGTGCTTGTGTTGGCTCTTCCCGAGGAGGCTCAGCTCAGTTGTTGTTCATCCCAGAATGTTAGTGAACACGTGGGAGCTTTCCTTGCCTGCCTCTTCTGGCTTCTCTTCCCACTCACTGATCCCCCCAGCATTCCCAGACTCTCTGCCTCTGCCTTTTACTTTCCTTTTGCAGAATTCTTGCAAAGCCAGTCCTCAATTTCAAGCCTTCTGTTACTCCCAGCGAAGATTAATGAGAAGATCCCCAGCTATAACCTCAAACTACCTACAGAACGTTTTTCTTGTATCTTCTACAGACAAAGCAAATTCTCTAAGTTCAGATTCAAATTTACCATCACCAGTTCCATTCCTGGATGCTGGCTTTTTTTATTATTATTATTCCTTAGATGGTACCCATAGCCAAGCCGCCATTTTTCCAAATACCCTTGGCTCTCCAGTTTAGTCTTCATTGGTTCTCATTGAGACACAAATTTTAAGTGTATACCTTCTCAATTCTTACCTTAAGATGTTCCTGCTCAGTTTTCCTTATCGTCCCCATCATCAGCATTTCAACTGGCATCAAATCCTTTTAACTGCTTCCTACAGTTTCTCAGTTATATTTTTTCTCTTAGATCCTACCACCAGAAGCTTCCAATTATGTTCCTGTTCTCATAACAGGTATCCACTAGCCCATAGCACTTAAAAGATATGTCAAATTACTCCATTCCCCCTTCCTAATCCAGATGTGCCCTAGCCTCAGTGCTAAGGTGCTGTGCAATATGGCTTGAGAATGGTAATAAACTGGTGAGCTATCCAGTTTATCTTAGTTTTCTCTTGAAGTATGGGGGATAAACACTGGGCCTTCTGCATCCAGGCAAATGTGTTACCACTGATCTAGCTTTTGCTTTGTTTAAGATACTAAGTTTCCCAGGTTGGCCTCAAACTAACTTTCTAGCCCAAACAGGCCTTGAATTGGCAATCCTCCTGCCTTACATTCCTTATTATCTGAGACTGTAAGCCTGTAACATCAGACCTCAAAACATTTTTGTTTAGATTGTATCCCTCAGGTCACAGTTTACAGAGCTATCCTATGTTCTACTGAGTTCTGAGAGAGACTCCAAATTGTTTAATCTGGGGATCCAGATGCTAAGTTGTGGTCTTCTGAGAGGACGTTAGAACCTAACAGGGAAAGGTGGCCTTACCATCCATTGTCCCTTTGCTAATAGTCCTCTTTTGGGCAACTGTCAGCCTTTTCTTTGCCAAGAGGATAAAGTTAAAATCAATTTTGAGTTTTGTCAAATTTTAATTAGTTTGAGGAGGGTCAAAATGGTTCAACTAACTCTTGTTTCATTTGTCAATGAGACCTAATAGCTTTGGGCAAAGGAGTATATTAATCTCTTTGCTATGAATGTATGGGATGTGTGGCTACAAGAAGTGATGGATATATATACATATATATTTACATATATATTCATACATATATATACATATATACATATATTTACAAATATAAATGAGTTGAGAAAGGATCTCCCTTCTCTTTTATGGCAGAGAAATCATCCTGATGTCAAAGACACAAACATCCAGGGGACAACAGAATCAAAGGAAGAGTGAAGCTGTGTGGTCTGGAGGAGGACAGGCACAGGGCTCCGCCGCCTTCTCCTGTCCTTGGGTTGGAACCATTTGACATGCAGATGGGATGCAGAGTGCTCTCAACCAAGTCTCACCGTGTGTAGGGGTCTGGGTAGCGCTGCTTAAGATCGGATGGTTATACTGACGATCACCTGAAAGTCACAGAAAGGACATTTTAAAAGAAGAATCCAGGCATTCTGTTGGCTGTCCAGCACAACAGCACTTCTCCTTACTCATCTCTACTGTTTTTCACAGACTCAAAGAAGTCTATCTAAGAAAGGCATAGAACAATATACTAGACTAAAAAAAACAAAAACAAAAACAAAAAAACCCCCTCTCTTCCTGCTGTTCCTGTCTCTAAGTACACAGGGCTTCTTTGGTCACTGTGGTGACACCCCCTACACACATACACACACACACCTGGATCTGGCTGAATAGCCACAGAGGCTATCCTAGGGTACATGTGGATCAGGAAGGAAGAAGGAAGATGGGAGAGTATTTGGCAAGGACACATATATGATACATCTAGCTACAAAAGGGAAGTAGACTCTTCTTTTTCTACATATACAGGTCTGATAACACCTGAGATGCAAATCAGGCACTGTTCAGTGTCTGAGATCAGGAGCCCTAGGTTCTTGGCTTACTGACACAGCTCAATAGTTCAAAGGCATTCTCTGTTCATAATGCAGAAGCCCACTTGAGTTGAATGAACAATAAAATCAATAGATCTAGGCTGCCAATGCTCAGAGTTCAGGGCATTCCAAGGGTTTCTAAAATGGTTCAAATGAAGATTTGGCTTGCCTCTAAAGTATACTCCAACACTGTGTTAATTCTTTAACACAGCATTATAGTCTTGCTTTTCATTGGTACATGTATCTGGTTTTAGCCAAGGCAAGGGGAAGAAAAGACATGAGATCTGTTCTCTATGTTCCCTGAATTATGAGTCATAGCTCTCCCAATCTTTGCAGGGCTATTATCTCCATCTCTGTGTATCTTCTTGAAAGTGTCTTTCCTACCTCTGGCCTCACATTCTAGTCCCCTTTCCTCCTAAGTACTGGGGCTTTGTTGGGCCCAGGTGTCTTCATGAAGACTTGGGCTCTGGTTCATAATTTCTACCTTCTCTAAAGGGACCACTTCCAAATTAGTGTGTGTAGACAGAGTGTTAGATCTTAAGCTGCATGGGGACCCCTTCTATTCCCTTTGAAATCCTTCCCCTTCCCAAAATTACTTTGCTATTTTTATTCTCCAATCTTAAGCTCCAGCCTATGACACTGACACCCGTGAACTTGGAATTCTAAACATTGGTCATGTTGGCAATTCTCTGCTTTCATCCCCCATAGCCATTGAAACACAAAGTCTTCTTCCATATAATATCCTGACTCCAATCTCACAAGTCATCACTTTTAAAATTAAGATTTCTCTTTTGTCATTTCTAAGACAAATTATTCTTTTTTGTCCTAACACACAACAATGCTAGAATGGTTGAGTGACTGCTTGGCTCCTGTGTTGAAACTGGATCCTTTACATAGGCAAGCGGAATAGCCAATCAAGGAGGGAATGTTGAGCAGCAGGCTAGCATTCCTCATAGGATGATACTAATCCTTCCTGAGAAAGACTGTTATGGCCAAGGAAGAAACTATCTGCCAACCCCTGAAAGGAGTAATGTCTGCTCTGCTTACAGACAGGAGCCTAGCATAGTTGTCCTCTGAGTGGCTCCACCCAGCAGCTGATGGAAACAAATGCAGAGACCCACAACCAATCATTGGGTAGAGTACAAGGAGCCTTGTGGAAGAGTTGGGTGAAGAACAGATAGACCCAGAGGGGGCAGGAGCTCCACAAGAAAACCAACAGAGCCATCTAACCAGAGCCCCAGGAGTGGGCTATGAAGATTGAAGCACCAACCAAGGACCATGCATGGACAAGACCTAGGACTCCTACACAGATATAGCCGACGGGCAGCTAGGTACTCATATAGGTGCCCTAGTAAGGAGAATCAGGGCTGACTCTGATATGGACCCTGCTCCCTGCTTTTTGATCTTTTTTCCCTGGCAGGACTAGATCAGCAGGCCATAGGGGAAGAGGATGCACTCAGTCCTGTTGCAACTTGATATGCTGGTGTGGGTGGGTAAGGGGGTGGGCTCTCCTTCTCTGAGAAGTAGAGGAGGGGAGATGGAGGGAACAGAGAGGGAGGGTGGCACCAGAAGGAGGGGAGGGAGGGGGCTATGACAGGATGTCAAACAAATAAAATAAAAACTTTCTGCCAAAAGTTGAATCCATTCCGCATTAGACCTGAATTTAAACAATAGGAGAAAATTCCACTTTGTATGGTAGAGAAAGGGAAGGGAGGATAAAGAGGGGAGAGGTGAGAATGAGAAGGAGTGAGGAGAGACAGGAGGAGAGATGAGACAGAGGTGGGGTGGGTAGGGAAGAGAAAGACTCTGTGTGTGTGTGTGTGTAGGGATTCTGTGATCTCAGAATTAGGGAGGCTGAGGTAAGAGGGGAAGGTTAACCCAGGACAATGAAAACCCTTGTCAGAGAGGGAAAGGAAAGAACAGATTAAACTTTTGTTTTTCCTTTGCTTATTTGGTTTGTTCCCCACTCCACCAAATCCCCCTTTTGAGACAGTATTTTTCTGTGTAACCTTGGCTAACCGGACTCACTTTGTAGACCAATCTGGCTTTGAACTCACAGAGATCCACCTGCCTCTGCCTCTGTCTCCCTGAGCACTAGGATTACAGGACTGTGAGGACCCCCCCCCCATTTTAAAACAATATGGCAAGATGAAAAAGAAAAATAGTAGAGTCCAGGTTGAGTGGATAGAATGGTGGTTAGTTACATTTTGAATCTTCCATCTTAGAATCTCAGTGACAGGAGAAAAGGGTTCTGGACACCAATGATTTAGGAAATCATTTCTGATAGCAGTCCATTACCGATGTTAAACTCAGTTTTTTTTTTCCTAAGTTCCTTTTGTAATTTTAATTTTGTACTCAGTTGGGAACACAGTATACTATTTAAAGACACATATACAATGTGCTCTGGTCAAAGCAGGGAAATCAACATGCCTGTCTCATCCTTTTGTGTTTGAAAGTTTGTTGTCATCTGGTCTTGCTAGTCACAGAGCACAAAATAGGCATTGCAAACTGCTTTCGCCAACCCCCACCTGTGATGTGGAGCCCTAGAACTTACCAGCTTCCCTCTTGTCTTGCTCCCCCACTGACCTCCCAGCTTCTAGAAACAACTACTCGATATTCAGATCAACTCTTTTGGCTTCCACACACAGCGAGAATGTGCTGCAAATCTATCTTTCTCCATTGACATATTTTACTTAACATAATGTCCTCTAGGTTCGTCTACTCTCACATGCATCTCTTTTCTTGACTAATTCTTAAAATGGTCTTGACTGGGGAGCAGAGCTGAGCGAACACATACAACTGGCCTGTCACAGGCACACACTAGATGAGATTCCCCAGGTACCTTAACTGGAATCATTACTGCATCTTTGAAAGAAAGTCACAACCAGGTGAGTTCACTTGAGATATGTGCAGAGCTTTGCTCCTTGTTCAAGACTCACTGAAAGCAATTCTTCTAGTAGTTGACATTTTTTTTTTAATCTGCTGGCATTAAGAAAGAGCATTTCAAATGAAGTAGAAATGAAAATTAAAACTGTGACATTTTGTTCTATTTGCTCCTATTTTTCCCTGCTTCATAAAGGGCTGTGCATGCTCACTCTCACACACACTTAAACAACATTCCAATGAGTGATTGTGTCAGTTTTCATGCGGATTGATCTGTTTAAAAGAATCAAAACACGATGATGATTTCTTCTTCACATTTGTGCAAAATGATAAAGGCAGACGACTACTCGTTGCAAGATTTGAACATCAGCAAAGGCATGGAAAAAAGCCCAATATTATACTTGCCTGTTTGTGCACTTATGTAATTCTTATGTATGTAGTATATACACATATACAGATATTAAAATGTACAGTTTCTGCACACTGCATATATTAATTTTTCTGTGCTTCATGAACATCATGAGTATATTTTTACATTTTGAAATAATCATTGATGCATTTTTAATAATTTCACCAAAGTTCATTCTTCCTATAGGACAGGAAGAACCGTCTTTTATTTCTATATGTCACTTGGGCATAATTTATTTGTTTATGCACAGTATAAGCTAAGCATATTTGAGTATTCTTTCAGTTTTGGTATTTGGATTGCTTAAGAATTTAATAATGTTACCTCAGATAACCTTGAGTACAGTCTTTGGCTGAGTCTTATTTCCTAAGGCTAATAACTATATTTCTGGGTCAACACATCATCAATTGCCTCCCAATGTGCCAAAGTAGATGGTAGCTTTTCTAATGCTGAAACATTCATCTTTTCCTGGCATACACTCTGATTCTGCTGCTTTATTTTATTACAATTCTGGATTTCATTTGCTCATATTTAACTTATATATGTATACACATACGCTCATAAAGAATTTGGATTTTCTGTGCTAACACACTGTTATGGTTTTGTATTAAAGTTATGATTTTGCAAAGTGAGGTGAACAGGGCTGCATCTTCATGCTTTGAAGTTACTCACCAAGCATTTGAAATATTGGCTACTTAGAGGGTCTGGAGGAGCTTAACAGTAAAAATGCCTGATTTTGCGTGTTTGTGTGTGTGTAAAGTGTGAATGTGTATCTTGTGTGTCTCTATGTGTATATCACTGCATGTGTCTTATGTTCTCTGTGGGTATTGAGCCCTTCTGTTAGCAAAGTGCTAGAAGTTTGGCTTTTATTATTTCATTGACAGCTTCAGAAGGTCAATACTGCTGTCATCACAAATTTAGAGATAAGGCAACTGAGGTTGAAAGATGTTGTTTGGTGTTCTGTAGCGAGTCTGGCAGCTGGCACTAGACCCTAAATACTAACCTTTGTGTGTACTGTCTTCTCATACTTGGGAATATGATCCTCACACCTTCATTCATTCATTCGCTCATTCTAGTTTTCTTACTGTACATTAAATTCAGAGTTTTAATATCAGTCTGAGACAGTTCAGCACTGAAGAACACTTGATACCCAAGTATCAAGGAGCCAAGCTCCATTCCCAGCACCCCTGTATCAGCTCAAAACTGCCCAATTAACCCAATTCCAAAGGAT